GGGGGGGGTCGCAAAGTTATTGCAGGGGAGGTTGCGGTACTGCTACCCTTACTTCTGCGTGGCTGCTCACGGGGCATTGTTGGCTCGGTGCCCAGCTCTGAAGGCGGTCGCCGCTCTCCAGTCACCCTGCTCTGAAGGCAGCACAGAAGTAAGCGTGGCAATACCGCAACCCCCATAAAATAACCTTGCGACACCCCCCCCGTCCTGCAACTTCCTTTTGGGTCAGGACCCCCAATTTCAGAAACGCTGGTCTCCCCCGTGAAATCTGTATAGTATCGCGTCAAAGCACACGCAAGACCAGATTTCATGGTGGGAGACCAGATTTCACGGTCCGTGACGCGTTTTTCATGGCCGTGAATTTGGCAGGGCCCTACACGTGGGCAGGAACTTGACTAATCTCGTGGGTTTCCGCAGCACCTTTCATCCCAAAGCACTTGGGACTACTCGACAGCAAGGAATTTCACCCACATCTAAAATGGAGCCACCTCTGGGGCAGAACACAGTAGCTACTTTAGGACAGGAAGTGAAGGAGGCTCTTGTTTCCTGCTAACCTGCAGTGGGGGTGGAGTGTAAGGAGGCAGAAGGCAGTAACCAGAGTTTTGGGGGCAGGGGTGATGTAGCTCAGAACAGCCCTTCCCTTCCTAAAGAACCAGGGGATCTTAATGACCGCCCATGGCTAGGACTCTGGGTTCCTGCCTGTCTGAAAGAGCATCCCAACATCCCCTAGCACCACTCAGGGGCAGTGGGAATGGCTGGATTTTAGAGATGGAAACCCAGCAAGGTTTAGCGGCGTGAGGGGTGTCCAGGCTGACCCTGAGGTTGTCCATAGAGAGGTCCTTTCTGCTTTGACTTGCTGTACATCTTGTGTCCCATAGGGGGCGAAGAGAGTCAGGCAGTGGATGCAAAGTGACTATTCTGTATTTCTATTTTTTTTTTCTCCTCCAAGCTCCCGAAGTGATTAACTACGAGCCCCTGAGCTCGGCGACAGACATGTGGTAAGGACGGGGAGCCTGCACGGGGCCCCTCATTAAAGTCGTGGCTCGGGCTAGGGGTATAACGCGAGCTGTCGTCGGCTCAGCCAAGTTCTCGGCATCACCCAGGCAGTATTCCAGGGTCCGCTGGCTTTGTTTTAAACACGCCATGTGCCGCAGGGAGACGATTCCCCGGCCTCTCCCAGCCAACTGAAGAGCCACAAAAATGATCCGACAGCGACTGTCTCAAGGAGCTCAGTCCGCTCGGCTTCTCAGAACGATGATTGAGAGGGGAGGGGTGTTTGAAGTACCGTCGGGGGGAGAAAACACCGATGCCTCTTTTCTTTCTGACTTTCCTCCCATTGCTGCTAGTTTCTCGTTCTGCTTAAAAGAGGTTCTGTTGTCCCGTCCAGGAGCGCGCGGGCCGTGCGATCGGTGGGTCAGTTGCACGCCAGGAATGGTGGAAGCGAGCAATGGGCTAACCCGTCATAGAGTGGAAATCTGCTCCGTGAAAGTGAGGGAGTGACGCTGGATCAGCAGGATTTGGGATAAGGGTCGGGAGCAAAAAAAGGGTGAAATTTACCCCGCTCTGCTGTTTGTTTACCAGGATCCCCTCCCTGATTTCTCCCAGTATAGCCTGTGCGTACTGATTGTCCCCAGCCCTCAGGCTGACTAACCGAGAACATGTCTTTGTTTATTTCAGGAGCATCGGCGTTATTACCTATATCTTGTAAGTACCCGACATCTTGGGTGTCTCTTCTTGTCTGACCCTCCCATCTTTAGCCCTTGCTTGGGGTTTTCTATCCAGAGACCACCCCCAAGCGCATCACTGGAGGTCAATATCATTATACAGAGTGGGGAAACTGAGGCAAGGCAGGGCCACAGCTTCCCCAGGGGTGGGTCGGGGGCCCTTTGGACTCAGCCGGCTCTCAACATATCCTTGTCTCATGCAGGCTGAGCGGGATGTCCCCGTTCCAGGGCGAGACGGATGCCGAGACCCTCTCCAACGTCGTCGCTGGCAACTACGAGTTCGAGGAAAAATTCTTCAGCGAGACCACCGATATGGCCAAGGACTTCATCCGGCAGCTGCTGGTGAAGGAGCCCCGGTAACGCCTGGCACCTGCCGCAGCCCGCTGGGCAGCAAGACCCTGAGGCTGGCACCTGCCAGCCATGGGCAGGGGGTTCCCCTGGCAGAGCAGCTCAGAAAGCAGGGGGTGACATTCACCTCTGGGTACAGCCGGCATAAAGCATCTGGCCGAGGGCTTAGGTGGGACGCAAGGGGGGCCTCGTTCTGTCACTCAGCACCAGGTGATTTCCACCCCTAAGGATCTAGGCCAGGTGTGATCCCAGCTGCGGGGGGTGGTTCGTTCAAGCCAGCGTATCCCCCCAAACCCCCAGCTGGAAAGGCTGGCACGGAGGGTGCAGGCTGGCCTGTGATTGGGTCCGTCCTGCATGGCGCAGGCCAGCCAGACCACAGCCTGTAACCTGCTGCTGGCTTAGTGCTGGAGGGGGCAGGAGGAACAGCTGGTCTGATAACCTGGGTGCCCTGGTGGCACCGGAGAGGGGCTGGCACGCAGAGGGGCCGGGAGGACAAATTGAGGGGGGACGATTGAATCCTTTGCACTACGTGGGACATGGACGGGCTGGGGAGATGGCTCTGGGGGGCGGGGGAGAGATTCCTGCCACGGGAGGTTCTCAGCAGGGCAGGGAGCGCTCGGCGGGTAAGCACCGTGAGGGGAAAAGGCCCGGGGTTTCCTGGAGAGAAGGAGTGGGAAAGGTTTTTCTTTTCTGGTGGGAAAGCAGCAAACGGTTCCCGTTTTTCCCGCTGCAGGAATCGCATGAGCGCGGCCGAGAGCCTCGTCCACCCGTGGATCAAGGTGAGGGGGCCGCTCGCGTTTCCAGGTGGACATGGGGAGGTGGGGACCGCCAGGCTAGCAAGCAGGGGGGCGCCCACGGCGGTGTCCGGTGGGTCCTTCTGGGGGTCAGGGCAGCCACTCCTGGTAGTTTTGCTCTTCCCTGAGGGCCCAGGCTGGGGGGAGGGCACAGAGCCTGGTGCAAAGCCAAAGATGGGGGTGGGGGTGGGCCTTAGAGGCAGCAGGTAGGTGCCTGTCAGGTGGAGAATTGGTCCGGGGCCATCGAATGCGGGATGAGCCCAGAGTGGCAGGGAAGCCTTCGGACGGGGCTGTTTTCTGCACCATCAGGAGTCAGATTCCTGCGGGAAACGGGCTCCTGTAGATGAATAACAACCTTCCAGGGCAGCCGGTGAAGAGAGGACCCCCCTCTCTCCTCCCAGGCCACTGCAGCTGCCAACAGACCCCAGGGGTCTGGGGAACCCTGGGCCCGGTTCCCTAGGGCGGAATTGAGCCAAGCGGAGGAGCCCGGGGCCCGCTGGATGATTGTGGGTGCAGGGGATTTGCCCTCTAAGGGTACTGGGGTCCCCCTGCTGCCTGTGAGCACGAGCTGGGGCTGGGTGTGGCATGCTGGGGGTGACGGCTCATGCGTTTGCCCCTTGGCAGCCCCTGAGCCGGAAGCAGGCCACCAACCGTAGCCGCTCCTCCATCAACATGAAGAACTTCCGCAAGTTCAACGCCCGCAGGAAATGGAAGGTAACTCTGCCCCGGCCCCCACATCCCCAGGGGGCTGCGGGGGGCGCTCTCCCTTCCCAGGCAGGGCTGGCCCCAGTGCGGCGCTAGGGGGCTGGTGCCTCATAGGGGGCACTCTCCCCTCGCAGTCAGTCACCAACCCGCTGACCCCAATGCCCCAGGGCAGTCCTTGGGGGTCCTTGCCCCTTGCAGCTTTGACCCTAGGGGAAGACCTTTCATTGTTCCATGGCACTCTTTGAAACAACAGAGGCATCAAGCCCCGAGCTCTGGCTACAATTCCCCGACCTAAAATCCCCCGGTTTGTTTCAGCTGGGTGCAGGATCCCTCTTTGCTTCCCGTCCTAAACTTTTCAACGGCTGCTGCGTTCCACCCCAGAGGTGGCCGCATTTTAGTGGCAGGGAAGAAATCCTTCAGTGTGAAAGATGCCGCATAACAGCAGGCTCGTTAATAGGGGACGTCGCTCCTTGGTGTGTATGTGTGGGGGGAACCCTCTTAATACGTGGGCATGGAGGCTCAAAGGGTCCTTAGCCTTAAGCTGCCCCGTTGCGTGTGTTTTTTCTCCCCCCTCCCCCCAGCTCTCCTACAACATGGTGTCTGCCTGCAACCGGCTCTGCCACCTGAAGCTCTTGTGTGGCCAGAAGAAGGAGGATGAGACTCTGGTGAGGCCTTGTTGATTAGCTGGTGCGCTCGCTCCCTGCGGGGAGAGCGCCGGGGACCTTCCGCTCCGGACTCACCGCGTAGGGGTTGGGGGAGTGATGGATGAATGGGCAGGGGCAGGGCTCTGGGCTGGGTTACAAGTTGGGGTGAGCGTCAGGGGTCACATGTTGGCAGGTTCGGGGTGGGGTTAGATGCTGGGGTGAGCATTGGGGGTGGGGTGAGCGCCCAGGGTAGCACTGATTATCCAGGTACCAAACGGACCCCACCTTCCCAGAGCTCCAGGCACCCCTGGGGGTTCAGAGCCAGGGCTGCCGCTGGCCGGCCGGCTCGCTAGTTAATGAAACGCTTCGTGCCCGCCCTTCTGCTGCTTCTGGGTGCCCAGGGCTGGCATAGACCTTGCCAGGCATGGGCAGGATCTGCCTGGGGGCAGCCAGGCAGGGCTGGAGTGAGTGTGAGTGTGTGCGTGCACAGCAGGGGACCTGGGTGTGTATGTGTGCATGGGGGGGACCTGGGGGTGCAGGGGGGGGGGTGTCTGTGTGCACGGGAGCCTGGGTGTGCACCTCTCCGCAGGTGTGCACACGTATATCATGTGCCCTCCCTGACCCTCTCTGGTGCCTCCCCCTTTTCCAGCGCGGCTGCGAGAGCGACCAGGAGGATGAAACCACCCACCCGGTGACGCTGCTGCGCCGGCGGAGAAGCAGCTGCTCTTGAGACCCAGCCCCCAACCACAGACTCCAGCATGCGCCCACTGCCCCACACCCACCCTCTGCGTCAGAGGTGGGGAAAGGCCCTGGGAGATCAGATGCCCCGGGCTCCACCCCGGCAGCTGGGCTCTGTCCGCCGAGGCCCGGATGGCGGGAAGGAGCATTGACTTTGGTCGGCGGGGACCAGCTGGGAGTGGGGGGGGGGGCTGGAAATGGAATTCCCCACCCCACCCCATGCCCCTCTCTGTCTGGATGCCTGAGGACAGGGAGTTGGCTGCGGATGGAGCTGGTGAAAGGGGAACACGTGTCAGCAGGAGAGGCTGGGGCAATGCCCGCAGCCCCTTGGCACCCAGTCACCGTGTCTGTGGGGCGAGATATTGGGGGTGTGGGAGAAGAGATCCCGCTATTAACCCTTTCATTATTCAAACAGAGCCCCCACCACCACCACCACGAGGGCCTTTCAGGGTGCATTTGCTGTACCCCTCTTATGCTTTCCAATAGGAAACCCCCCTGTGTGGCTGTTCTCTCTGGCACTTGTGGGGTTAATTGGAACCCCCCCCCCCTTCAGACATTGTGTTCCGGAACTCATGGGGTTAATATGAGTCTCTTCCCTCCCCACTCCACCGTGCCTGCTGTCCCCCAGCAGTACCCTGGCGGGGGGATGGATGGCGGCTCGGCTGGGTGCCAGGTACCTTTACCCAGCTGTTGAGGGGCAGCCAGAGAGCCGGGTGGGTGCCCCTTCCCCAGCACCCCACACTTGCATGCTGGCCTAAGGCGCATGGCAGGCCAGACCCCCCTCCCTCCCCCCCCAGCTGCCCAGGGAAGATCTGCCCAGTTCATTTCCCCCTCTGCCTGATTATTTTTAAATAAATAAACGTGCCAAGCGTCTCCCCTGTCTCCTGCCTGTGCCGGGTGCCTTTGCAATGAGGGTCTAACCCCCCAGGTGGAGCCGGCCCACGCTCCACAGCCCTGACCTGAATCAGCCCAGCAGAGCCGGCTCTGGCCCCTTGGTGGCGCTAAAGCCCAGCTCATGGGGCTTGGCATCTCCCCAGCTGGATGGTTGGTAACTGGGTGCTGGCGCTGGGCTGGGTGGTGTTCAGGACTGAGCCCCACGGCTCTCACTGCCCTAGGGCGCTGGCCGGCTAATGGCCTGTCTGTCCCGGGAAGGGTAGGAAGGAGTAGCGGTCAGAACAGCTGGGCAGGGCGTGTCCCTTAAAGGGGCAGTGGATGCTTTTTTGGTCAAGGTCCAAATTTCTTGGTTAAGGTCCAGACGCCGGAGACGCATTTTTCAACCGCCGTGACAATAGGGAGGATAAGAGGCAGTCCGGCTTTGGCGCCTACGGCCTCCCCCTGCCTTACGGGGACAGGGGTGGAGAGGAAACCGAAAAGTTGGCACGCGCTGGGGAGCAGTGCACTGGGGCGAGCGAGCGCTCTGCCCTCTGGGGCTGCCCTCACGGGCACGTGTGCAGAATGAGAAGGGGGACGTGGATGCAGACGTGCAGCTGGACGTGCAACGGCTGGCGAAGGTAACGGCCACCGTTGCCACTCCCTATTCAGAGCGGACGCTCAGGTTTCTGAGTGACGCCCAGTGCACCGGGCACTTCTGCACAGGGCCCCGCAGGGGCTTGGGAATTTAGAGCGTGTGAGTGCAGCACTTTGCTCATGCAGAGGGGTTTTAAATCCCCCCCTTTTTTCATCACCTGCGGCAAATCCGCAGCCTTCTATCTGCAGGACCAGAGCTCAAGGGGGTGTGGATCTGCCTGCTCGCACCTGGGAGAAAGGTGACAGGTGGGAAAGCCCGTTCCGTGAAACCACTGACTCAGCAAAGCAGTCGAGTTTGCCATAAACCCCAGGTTACTATTGTCAAGGAGAAAGGCAGGCCTGGGAGCTGGGGCTTTCTCCCTGGCAAAGCAGCCGATCAGAGCAGTGGTGGTTTGTTTCGTTACGCTGAAAAGCCAGAGTCCCTAGTGGCGCAGATCTAATGCGCCCCTTCTGCCTCGAAAATTGGCAGCCAGGTAGTTACTGCCCGGGCCATTAAAAGTTCCTTTAACCAAAGAGCGGTGAAAGCTGTGTCTGCGGTAGAACGCTCCCCTGCTTGATCCAGCCTGGAGGTGAGACGGTGGGAAGGCCAGTTACTCCGCTGGGGCTAGATCCCACAAACTGGGGCGACCGACCGGGTACAAAGCAGAAGCCACCCATCAGGTCAGCTTTTCTCCTGCTCCACTACCCTTCCAGAACCCCGGCCCCGGCCTGACATCTCACGGTACCCCCGTGCTGCACCCCAGAAGGGGACGGGGGTAAGTGCTGCATTGCAAAGGGCCCGTCCCCTCCCCTCCTCTGCTGCTGAGGAAGGGGACAAGGAGGCAGGAAGGAACCATTGCTTCTTATCAAGCTACTGCTCTTCCCAGAGGTGAGGGGAGAGGGGCCAGGCTAACTGGCTGGGGCAGGAGAAGATCTGGCCATTTCAGGCCCTGCTCTAGGACAACAGGACTGGGTCAAAGGACCCCTGCTCCAGTTGCACCAAGCGGTTTGCTGGTTGTGTGGGCTATTGGGCCAAGGCTCGGCGCAGGTCCCTTCGCCTGGGGTAGGGGGAGAGCGGGGGTTCTCTGCAAGAAGTTTGAAACAAGAGGCAGAAAAAAAACCATCCCGTTGGGCTTGAAAGTTTTCCCTGAAATTTTGTGATTGATTGATTTATTTATTTATTTTTGGAAAAAAACTTCCCGTGGCCTCTCTGCAATCGTGCCCATCCCTGTGGCGTCTGGGCACTGATCCATAATGAAGGGTCACACCACATTCCCCTAGCAGCAGCACCCCAATCCTCCAACCTCGTGACAGCTGGGGAAACTGAGGCCCGGAGACTTGCCGGGGGGTCGTACAGTTGATGGGTGGAGGAGCTGGGGCTGTTGGCTGCAACCCCCGCCTCCCAGTTAGCTGGCGCATTTGGGGGAATCTCTCTTCCCTGGTCAATCTCTGGCTCCTTATTTTCCAAACAAGCCCCCCCGGCCCTGGCCCAACCCCATCTCGGTTCAGTTTTCAGGCTAAATATTTTGAATGTAGCAATCGAAAACAAAAGGGAACCCGAACCCGGCCCCTCGCGCCTGCTCGGGGCCTGGCAGCTCCCACCATGTCACCGCGCTGCCTGCAACCCACCCGGGGCAGCGGTGGAAGGAGGCAGGGCCCCTAGGCGAAGGTGGGAGCGCTTTGGCCCTGCCCCTGGGCTGGTGTTTCACCTGGCTGCACTTGGGGAGGGCGGGAGGCAGCTCCGCCCAGTTGTCTGCGCCCAGGTGTGCTGCTTGGTGCAGGCTCAGAGCTCGGCTGCTCGCCCAGCCCTATGCACGCAGCACGGGAATCGGGGGGCGCAGAAGCCGGGGGCTTTCTCCTTGAAGCCCGGAGCGAGGTGGATCGAGGCCAGTTGTGGTGGAGGCCGAGGAGCGGCGCTGTCCCTGCCAGTCCCCTGGGAATGAAGTGGGAGGCGCTGGGGTCCCTCTGTTCCCAAGCTCTGCAGCCGGGGTGGCGCCTGATTTCCGCCCCTTAAGAGAAGCTGCCGGGGGCGCGGGCCTGTGCGCATTCTGCCTCGCTTTGGAGAACGGCTGGGGGCTTTTCTGTTCATGGACCATGGGGGCGGAGAAGGAGACAGTGGCACCGTCGTCCCTCTGCCTCCTGCCGCTCGGGATAGCTCTGCTGGTGCTCAGCCTCGTCCCACCTGTGCCTGCGCTGGCCACCCCTGGAAGTAAGTTTCCCCAACCTGGCTAGCAGGCCTCGAAAGTCTGCTCCTGCGTCGCCGAGCGAGACTCGGCTCGACGGGCTGGGGGTGCGCGGCCACAGCAGAATCTCTCCCGGTGGAGGCTGAGCGGGATGGGACGGGTGGGTGACCCAGAGGCGAGGGTGAAGGCAGCAGGCTGGGACTGCAGACGCAGTGGGGGGCTAGTGGATGGAGCACCAGGCTGGCGGGCAAGAGATCCTGGCTCCTGTTCCCGGATCTGCACCCAGCCTGCTCCATGACCTTGGGCAAGTCCCATAAGAGCAGCCATGCCGGGTCAGCCCAATGGTCCATCTAGCGCCTAGCCTGTCTCAAGTGCTTCTGAGGGAATGAACAGAGCAGGGCACTTAGCCGGTGATCCATCCCCTGTCATCTGGTCCCAGTTTCTGGCAGTCTGAGGTTTAGGGACACCCAGAGCATGGGGCTGCATCCCTCACTGTCTTGGCTAATGGCCATTGATGGACCTAACCTCCAGGAACTTATCTAGCTCTTTTTTTAACCCAGTTGTGCTCCGGGCATTCACAACATCCCCCGGCATTGAGTTCCACAGGTTGTGTGTGTTGGGTGAAGACGTATTTCCTCCTGTTTGTTTTAAACCCGCTGCCTAGTAATTTAAGCGGGTGCCCCCTAGTTTGTGTGTTAGGGGAAGGGGTGCCTCTGTGCCTGTTTTCCATCTCACATGTGTCTTTTGAGGTTGTCAGCTTTCCTGGAAGAGGGATGGCCTCTTGCTATGTGTACGTGCCGTACCCAGCACATCAGGTGCTCTAATTCTAGGTCTGACTGTAATACAAATAGCAAAATAATAATGGGATTTGGGAGAGCGGGGGCCAGGTCCCAGCTCCGTTGCTCTGTGTGACCTTGGTTAAGTCACTTTGTTGCTCTGTGCCTCAGTTTCCCCATCTGTAAGGTGGGGACAACCATCCTCCATTTGCTGGTCTCTACTTGGAGTGTGAGCTCTCAGGGGCAGGGACCCTCTCTGACTATTGTGTCCGTGCAGCCCCTACTATAATGGGGCCTCCAGGTCAGCATGGGAATTTGGATCTGGGACCTCAGGATCGAAAGACGGGTGACTGCCTCCCGCCTGAGCTAAAAGAACCCGTGCTGCAGCCGGCTCTCTGTGGCCCAGCCACCCCGAGGAGAGCACAAAATGGCCCATTGTAACTCACACCCAGTTGTTCTCCCATAACCGCAGGGCTCTCTGCACCTTCCTTTGAAGCAGCTTGCGCTGGGCACAGTAGGAGACGGGATACCGGGGTAGATGGGCCCCCTGTTCTGAAACAGTCTAGTAATTTCCAGGGTCCTTTGTTGCTAAACACACTGGACTTTCACCATCAATAACTGCTGATTCCCTCATTTTTCAGTGTAAAGTGCCCGTGAGAAACTGGCCGTTTTGACTTCAAAACACAGAGACGACCCCCCTCCCCCAGATTCTGGAGCAAAAAGGAACAAGCAGGAACTTTTGGGGCAGGGTGGGGGGTGGTAGCTGCTTATTTGGGTTCTTAAGGGGCTTTTGACTGGTGATGAGAAGTTGATCCGGTGGAGTGAGGAACACAGGAGTCCAGGCAATAAATAATTCAGGTTTGCAGGGAGTCATGGAAAGAGACGTGAAAGTGGAAAATTGTAGCTAAGGGGGGGGCTGGAGGAATTGAAACAAAGACAGCAGCGGGGCTGGGATCAAAGGCAAGAGTTTAACCCCTGCTCGTCACGCTGCGCCCGCTAGCTCGTGAAGTGAGGCTGATCAGAGACAATCCAAAAATGTCCCATGGAGATGTGGGGAGCAAGGGGGAGGGGAATAGCTATTTCTGGGCTTTGGGACTGGAAAGAGAAGCAATGCAATCCGGTAAAGACCCCTGAGCTCTGCTAGAGTGTGGCCTGCGGGCTGAGATCAGGGGCGTGGGAATCTAGACACCTGGCTCCTTTGCTGGGCCCTCCCCTGGCAAGTCCCGTCCCCTCCCAGTGCCTCAGTTTCCCCATCTGTGTAATGGGGAATAATGGGGAAATGATACTGACCCATCTCACAGCGGGGGGAGGTTGAACTAATAATGAGTGTGTGGGAAGCCCTTTGAGAGCCTCAGGGGGATGGGTGTGGAGCAGGACTAAGCCGTGTTGTTATAAAGGACGTGTGTCACTGGAGCCCAGCGAGGACGCAGCCACAGCGGTTTGGGGGTGTCAGAGCAGTGGCCTAGGAACACAGAATGCCGTGCTGGGTCCTGGGGGCTGCTGGGTAATAGAGAACGTGGCTTTTGGGGCCGGGGCTTCTTATAACCTACACATTTATTGGGAGCCCGTCTGCCTAAAAGGCCAGCACCCGGGTGGAGAGCACCTCTGGGGTGTCTATTGGGAAGATGCCGGTGCACCGCCAGGGGGAACGCCACTTCCTTGTGACCCTTCATGGGAGCTGTGTTTTTTTTTCCCAACTCCAGTCCCACAGGAAGGCTGCTGGGTTCTGAACCTCTCTCCTCGGGTCCTCTGCCCCCTTGGTGGGAGGTGAGGTAGGATCAGGGCCTTAGAGGAGTGAATCAGGCATGGCTGCACGTGCTGCCTTTCCTGCTGGCTGTGGTTTGTGGCAGGGGCGAACGAGGCGGGGACGGATGCCCAGACTCGGGAGGGGGTGTCCGGCCTCACCAGTGCAGAGGGCTGTGGGAATTTTTGCCATTCACGTCAAGGGGCCCAGGATCTCACCTCTGGGGCTCGCCCAGCTCCGAGCAGCTGGCTGGTGCCGGTGTGAACAGACCTGCTGGGGCGCCGTAAACAGGGAAAGCGTCTGATGGAATCGCTCCTGATTTAGGTGAGCATAAATAGGAGGAGACTTGGACCCTGTTGGGCCAAATGCATTAGCCAGTGGAGCTGGGGATTTGGCCATTTGATTTTGTGGCTTGAGAAAGCACTGCGTGATCTGGGTCACCCCTCGGGGGAAAAAAGATGGATCAAAATCTCAGCGCTGGCTCCAGATCCAAGCTTCTCTTGGCACGTGCCCTGCGTTCATTACCCACTGTAAAATCCCGATACAAACCCTGGATGGGAACTAGCCCCAGTTTGGGGGTTTGAAACCCCGTCTTTCCCACAGTGTCTGGACCACTATAAGAACGGCCCAAGGGTCCATCTAGCCCAGTGTCCTGTCTTCCGACAGGGGCCAAGGCCAGGGGCCCCAGAGGGAATGAACAGAGCAGGGAATCACCAAGTGAGCCATCCCCTGTCGCTCATATATAATAAAGATTATTATAATTGATATCCCGGCAGCCCTACATGAGATCATTACCCATTGTGCTCGGGGCTGTACGTTCCCACTCTAAGAGACAATCCCTGCCCTGAAGCGTGTATAGTTTAAAAGCCCAGACCGACAAAGGAAGGATTGTCAGCTGGGGCTACGTGTGGGGAAACTGAAGGTCTGATTCTCTATCTCCTGCTTTGCTAATTCTGAACACGGCTGTAGGATAACAGGCAATGTTAGTGACTAGGCTTACAGGGAGCTGGGAGCAGAGTAAGGAATTGAAGCTAGGTCTCTTGATTCGTCAGCCAGCATTTTAACCACTAGGTCGCCCTCCCTCTTTAGCGTCAAGCGGTAATCTTTCCTCTGGAATTTAGGTTCAGGCGCCGTCTCTAATGTCCTTGGGGAGTTTCACAGCAATACTGTAGGGACATGGGTTACTCTGGGAGTTAGCTAGGTGCCCCTGGAACATTTATATGTCATTCTACTAATGCGATTCGCTGGGGGACGGTGTTGGGAAGGAGTTCCTGGAACGGAGATGCAATCGGCGGCAGTATTGCCGTCCCCTGGCCCTAAATTACAGTATATAAAAATACCTGGTGCTTACAACCTTCGGGGACAATCGCCTGCTGCCTCGCACGTGTTGTCTGGATTTATAGTCGGGGAATAAAACCTGAAACCCCTTTGTATTTACAAACAGAGAGGAATCAAACTAGCAGCACCTGGCATCTCCTTTCAGAGCTGCACAGGGCACAGACTGTGTTGGGGGGTGAAAAGCAAAGTGTCAATGAAAAGAATAAAGAAAATTTAGTCAAAACACAATTTGCTGGCTGGCAAGCGGGGGGGCCCTCGAGCGTCTCACCTGCTCTGGCAGAGGGCAAGGGGGTTAATGAATGACCACAGTAATAACAGAGCTGCAATTGAAAAGCGTGTTTGCGCTAAACAGAGCTGGGAGATGGGAAAACTACTGGCCGTGACATGTGCCACCGGCGATGCCCGCTGAAGTCGGCTGGCGGCGTGCCCGAAATGCAAGGCAGAAATAGCCCGGCGCTGCAAAATGGGGCAAAGGTGAAAAGAAACGTGAGCTCCGCCAGCTTTGCTCCATTGCTCCGCACCTCGGGTTGGCGCTGTCACCTGGGCAAACTGGGCGCAACACTACCACCGGCCCAGCCCGTGGGCTCAGCGGCTCCACTGGCGGGAATGGCCAAAGGTGCTGATTTCCACCGGCAGAGGAGCAGGCCTGGACGGGTTTTGCACAGGGGTAAATGATATCCCGATATGCAAGGCAGGGCAGAAATAAAGAACCATCCGCCAGGAGCTGGCAGAGCGTGGGACTTGAGGCGTGCACGGGGAATAAAGCCCTTCTTAAGTTATTGCAGGGTTCCCAAATCCCTGAGCCATGTGGTTTGAGCATTGGTCTGCTAAATCCAGGTTGTGAGTTCAATCCTTGGGGGGGCCATTTAGGAATCTGGGGCAAAAATCTGTCTGGGGATTGGTCCTGCTTGGAGCAGGGGGTTGGACTAGATACCTCCTGAGATCCCTTCCCACCCTGATCGTCTATGATCCTCTCCCCCGAACGGCTCCCTGGTGAAACTTTGACTGCTGCTACTTCCCACTGGAAGAGTTTTCCTGGCAGGTGGCGTGTTTAGGGTTGAAGCCGAGTTCACTGTGTTTGATTTGTGGTGTTTACTGTAAATTTTGGGCTGGAAAGCAGGCTGCCCTGAAAACTGTTCTCTTGATCATAACTTGGCATCAGATTTCA